TCTATCTATCTATCTATCTATCTATCTATCTATCTATCTATCTATCTCTATCAATCGATCTATATCTATCTCAATCATCTAATCAATCATCTGTCTGTCTATCTATCTTTCTATCTATCATCTATCATTTATCATCTGCCTATCTATATCATCTATCATCTCTATCATCTATCTATCTATCTATCAATCATTTGTCTATTTATCTATCTATCATCTATCATATAATTATCAGGGGTGGGATTCTATCAGTTCACACCTATTCACTAGAACTGGTTGTTAACATCCTAAGCAGTTGGGAGAACCGGTTGTTAGAAGAAATTACTGGCCTAATCCTGTAAGGAAGGCAGGAAGGAAACATTCTGGTATTGCTTACAGAAACTGCCTCTCTGTTAATCCTTATTACATTCTTGGCAGGACTAGACTTCCTGTCTCAGGAACTTCTCTGAAGTTTTTTTTCCCCTCCTTTGCTGGTCCTTTGCTTGTGTGGAGTGAACATTTAAAGTTACAATGGCACTGAAAAAGGTGACTTATGACCATTTTTCACACTTACGACTGTTGCAGCATCCCCACAGTCATGAGAGGCCAGGCGAGGAGATGCGTGCCTCGATGTGAGTGACATTGAGTTGGCCACACCCAGCCAATAACATGAACACTAAGCCATGTCCACCCAGTCACATGACCACCAAGCCACGCCCACAGAACCGGTTGTTGAAAAATTTGAATCCTACCCCTGCTAATTATCATTTATCATCTGCCTATCTATATCATCTATCACCTATCATCTATCTATCTATTTATCTATCTATCTTTTCTATACTGTCCATCTCTCCTGCGTGACACAGCATAACTTTATACATTTGAACACTTACTTGAGGTCTGTCTGCAGTTGTTTACAGGTTCAAAATAAGAAAACAGTTGCAAAGACAGCTGCAGATATCTGGGCATCCTTCTTTTTGATTCTATATCACTCCTAAAACATAAAAGTTGTTAATAAGGCCCCAAAGAGGAAAGACTCTGGGGATGGTCCCAGAGATACGCACCCTGAACTTCCCTCTCTCGTCTCTCCAGCTGCGATAATTGTTCTGTCTCCTTTCAACAACCGCAGCCTCTTTTGAACAGCTGTCTGATCGTTTGAGGTGGAAAATAATTCACTCATACAAAGCAGGGAAAGGCGATTAAAAAAAAAAATCTATAAATGCTTCCACCTAGCAATTTCAACTCTGAGAACTATTGTTAAGAAATGGAAGCTTAGAACTCAGGAGAAGGAAAGCTAGAAGACATATAATAATCTATATATAGAAAAGTGAAATACTACTCACACATCATCACGAAATCTCCAGGATCGTAAAGCCTACAAATTTGAAATTGGGCACATAGGTTCCTCTTGGCTTCTAGGTGCTCACTTAAGAAAAGATTTCTCGAAATGACCATCAGAGCATTAGTATTTCCTATATTATTATTAACACACTCTGATGCTAAGGAGTCCTACTCCCCCTCTCCACCTGAAAAGAAATCTCTTCTAAATGCAAAACACAAGCAGAGGAGTTTCAGTTTTAGTTTCACAGCTTTAGTACAGAACAGTTGAGCTAAGCCACGCCCAGGCTCCTTGTTGTCTCCTTCTTGCTCGCACAGCAAATACTGTTTAAGTTTCCAAACAGCCTTCAACTCTCTCACACACTGACAGGACGCTAGCCAGATGAATACCAATGGATGCTGGGAGGCAGGGGCAGAAATTTTTTTAACCTTATTTTTCTCCCCCAAAACTAAGCCCGACCACAAAGTAAAACCTCTCTACTAGACCTGGCTGAAAACTGGTTCAAAGTGGAAAATGGAATCCACAGATTTCTTGAAATGGCCTGCTGAAAAATTAGCTGGCCTGGAGTCAGTTCTCTCCAGATCTACAATACAGCATAGATAATTATCCAACAACGATCAGCCTAGGATGCAACTCTCTTCTCTGATCTGACCAAATGTATCTTTTCTTTTATGTACACTGAGAGCATTTACACCAAGACAAATTCCTTGTGTGTCCAATCACACTTGGCCAATAAAGCTATTCTCTTCTCTTCTCTTCTCTTCTCTTCTCTTCTCTTCTCTTCTCTTCTCTTCTCTTCTCTTCTCCTCTACTCTACTCTACTCTACTCTACTCTACTCTACTCTACTCTACTCTACTCTACTCTAAGAGGGTTTTTTCCCCTCCATCTTGGCCATTTTAAGGCACGTGGACTTCAACTCCCAGAGTTCCACAGGCAAGCTGGGGAATTCTGGGAGTTGAAGTCCGCACATCTTAAAAGTTCCCAGGGTTGAGAAACACTGGATTAAGAAGAACAAAAAAGATTGAGAAAGTTGGCGAGATCGGATGCAAAAGGTTTGCAGGTGAAAAGGGAGTGTGTAAAGCATTTAGTTGATGGTGAGCCTCTTTGTTGTGGTGTGCCGAAAGCGTGAGAGAGATAGCATGCATTTGTGCCGGGACCCACAAGGCAATGCGTCCCCCCTGCACAAGCACACGCAACACACACACCCCTTACCTGCACTGTGCATGCGTACGCCTCCCAGCTGATTTTTGGCCCCCTGGAGGCCATTTTCAGTCTCCCAGAAGCTCGATGGAAGCCTCTGCAGCCTTTGGAGGGCGAAAAATGGACCCATTTTGGCACTTCCGGTATTTCCAGAAGGCCCGTTTTTCGGCCTCCAAAGGCTGCAGAGGCTTCCCTCGAGTCTCCGGGAGGGCGAAAACGGCCTCAAATGGGCTGAAAGTCAGCTGGGAGGCACGCGCATGTGCAGTGCAGGTAAATTTGGCTGGGGCTTATATACCCCCACAAATGGCTCTGCATGCCACCTATGGCATGCATGCCATAGGTTTGCCTTCACGGACTTAGTAAATGTAGTAGAAGCAACAGGCATAGAAAAAGGAACTGTAAGAATAGAAAAGTATACAAAAATGTTGGTGTAAACTGGAAGTAGCTACAGCTTTCTCCTCCTCTCTTTCCTTCCTTCTGCTTCCTCTGTGTTCATTTTTCCCCATTGTTTTCTTGAAGTAGAATGATGAGAAGATACACATTCACAGGTAGTCCTTTATTTACAATCACAGTTGAGCCCCAGATTTCCGTTGCTAAGTGAGACGGTGGTGACGTGAGTTTTGCCCCCATTTCACTCACCTTCCCTCCCATGGGCGTTACGTGACTCACTGCCATGTTTAAGCTAGTAACACGGTCGTTAAGCGAATTTGGCTTCCCCGTTGACTTTACTCGTCAGAGGCTCGCAAAAGGGGATGCCATTGCAACCGTCGTAAGTCCATGCCAGTTGCCAAGCCTCTGAAGATTGATCATGTGACCACGGGGATGCCACAAGGGTTGTAAGTGTGAAAAGGGTCCTAAGCCGCTTCTTCAGCGCCGTTGTGACTTTGAACGGTCATTCAATGATCTTTTTTATAACCGGCATGCTTGCAAAACTGCTGGAGTGTTGCAGTGGCTTAGAGGTGGAGCCTCTCGCCGCACAATCAGGAGACTGTGAGTTCGATCCCAGGTAGAGGCAGACATTTCTCTCTCTGGGAATTCTGAGAATTTACAGTATCTGCTGTAATTTACAGTATCTTCACATTGGCAACAGGAAGGACATCCAGCCAAACACTCTGCTAGCTCCATTCAGTTGCCG